GCAGCACCAGCTCTGACCAGCCCGTTATTAAGTGGCAGCTGAAGAGAGACAAACCAGTCACTGTGGTCCAATCCATTGGTACGGAAATCATCGGGAACCTTAGGCCCGAGTACCGCGGTCGAATCCTCCTGTACGAGAACGGCTCCCTGCTCCTGCATCACCTGCAGCTGTCTGATGAGGGTGTGTATGAGGTGGAGATCTCCATCACTGATGATACCTTCACTGGGGAGCGATGCGTCAACCTAACCGTGGATGGTAAGACAGCCGTGGACATTTCATCTACAGTATGTGAAGAGTAACTTTCCTTATTCATGTTGTCCTGTTCTATCACAGTTCCAGTGTCCCGGCCTTTTGTTCACATGGTGGCCTCATCCGTCCTGGAGCTGACTGAGTTCTTCATACTCAACTGCACTCATGATAGTGGCACCAAACCCACTTATAGCTGGCTGAAAGGCGGGAAATCTTTGACCAATGATTCGCGTCTGCTCCTGTCACATGACCAGAAGGTCCTGACCATCTCCCGTGTTGTGATGTCAGATGATGACATCTACAGCTGCAGGGTGGAAAACCCCATTAGCAGTATGAAGAGCCTGACGGTCAAACTCACTGTCTACAGTAGGTGTTGAGACTCCAATGTCACCTTCATGCATGAACCATGGCCTGAAATGTCAAGTTTTATTTTTGCTATGTTACATACAGGATGAAAACACAAACAACTTGTAAAGGATTATCGAAAAAGTCATGGAAAGATGAAGAGCTGCATGAAATGTGTCACAATTACGTTGTAGTGTAATCCATAAATGAGAGAGATGAAGAATAAACAAGATATCAGAGAATTTAATGAGGACAGAAAAGAAAAAAAACAACAACTAAACTGACGTTGATGAACACAGAACTGGGAAAACTAGGGGCACAGTGAATGATAATTAATAAAACAAGGATCAGGTGTGAAACTCCTTAAAATAGTTACAAACAAGGATGAGAACTCTGGCAATCAGAACAGTGAAAATGAAATGCCAATGCTTAGTAAGGAAAAAAATTATAATAGCCTATATATATTTTTTAAAAAGACATAAACAAATAAATAGAGGCGTTTCATCCTGTTCCAAAAATGTTCTATGGACCTCAAAGGAAAAACTTTGGAGAATCGTTTTGTAGCTGTTTTCCATACAACAATAGTTCACAGGGACCACAAGTGTAAAACTCCAAATTAATAATTGAATTAAATAAAATGGTCCATATGACTTGTGCACTATTCCAAGTCTTGCAAAGCAGTGTTGATATTGTTAACTAAAACTAAAAGTATAGTTTTCAGTAATTGAAATAAAGCTGAACTTAAATAAAGTATAAATAGAAAATGTATAGATAGAAATGTTTCCTTAACAATTAACTAAAATAAATAAGTTTACATTTAAGTGCTAAAATTTCAAAAACTGAAATAAATCTAATACATATTTATTGAAATATTACAATAAAAGGCAAAATCACAATAACAATAATTCTAGCTTAAGTTTTAGTCATTTTGTTAAATTTAAATAAAAACTGAATATATAACAATATAAATAAATACTACATTACTACAGTTGTGAGTGTTTATAAAAAAGGCTGATGAAGGAGAGTGTTTACGAGGAGTTTTGCTCCACTGGTGCTCAGCTGATCCTCTCCACTTGCACACATTTCTGTCAAAACACTGAGCTCAGCGGGGTCCTGCATTCCCTCTGCACAGTCTACCCTTTAAAAAAGCCCCCAAGTTGCCCCATTCATTCCTGCACTTGGTATTCCTGGCAACCTGTGCAATCAATCTTCCATTTAAGGTGTCCTTAATTTGGACCTTGTCTACAGAGTAGTTTGGTGTTTCAGAGCACTTAGTTTTTTTAGAGAGCGAGTGGGTGGGGGGGATGTACTATGTCAACCTGTATTCTCCTTTTAAATTTTGCAGGACGGAGTTCTCTGTATATCATCCTCTCCATGGGAGGCATTTTCTTACTCATCACCTTGGTGACTGTTTGCGCGTGTTGGAAACCCTCCAAAAAGTACCAGCTCTATTATCCCTATATCCATTCTCTTTGATAAGTCTAAAGCAAGCCACAATAAATCTCAGCAGCTCGTACTGTTCTTGTAAGAAAAGCCTTTGTGCTTCAAATGTTAAGAGGCCAAAGTTCCACAGATCAGATGAAAACAAAGACCAAAGTAACTGATTACATTGGAAAGAACTCGTCTTGTACACATTTAGTTTTCTGTTTAATATGATATTGCATTTGAAATTTCTATCACAGTCAGATATCCTGCTAACAAAAATACATTGTTATTCTTTCTACAGAAAAAGGCAACAGCTTGCCCGACAGAGCAGACAAAATTTAGCAGAGCAGAGTAACGACAATCATGATGGTAATTTTGTTAATTGTTGCAGAAAAATCTCAAGATAAATCTCTTATTTTAATATTATAAAGGTGCACTCAGTACTTTTTCCCTCATTATTTTTTTTTAATTATAATAGTAAAATTTTTTAAAACATGTTATCATATTAAAATGTTTATCATATTTTGAATTTGCTTTTATTTTTTTTTATTTTCAGTTTTCACTTTAAGTTTTAATTTAAGTTTTAGTAATTTTGTTTCGAGCTATTGTTATTTGTTTTAAAAAGAATTATATATATATATATATATATATATATATATAAAAGTAATAATAATATATAAAAAGTAAGTAATAAATTAGATTTAATTGCCAAGGCAAGATCTCTTGCCAAGGCAACATTTCTGATTTTTTTCTTTCTTATGTTTTTCATTTAATATTCATATTTTATTTTATTTTAATTACCAAAATGATTTTATTAGTTTTAGAGCACATTAGCAACACTGATCACATATATAGAGTAATATCAGTGGCCTATTAAAAAATATATATATATATTTTTAGTGGGTCAGCAATTTTGAGATCACATAACAGCAGAATAATATGTTGCTTATCTCTGTAACCTCCGTAATTGGACAAAAATTCATGACGACTGACTGTAAATATTTCAATCCTAAAATGTTACATAAAATATTTGCTGTATTCTTTATCCACGCTAGGTGTCAGTCCAAGACCACTTTCATATCAAACAGAGCAACATAAAATATTACTTAGTGCACATTTTACATTTTTTTTCAAATCAGTGTATAATACAAAGAAATTATTTATTTTTTAATTATTAAAAATATATATTTTTATGAAATATTGAATGCTCTCTTTACAGTTGATATCGTGCCTGCTAGAAATTACCATAACCGTCGGAACCCAGGTGGACTATATGTCCTCAAAGAAACGGTACGACATTATTATTATTAATAATTTAATTGTTGCTGTTCTTGTTGTTTTCATTTTTTTTTTACTTTTTATTATTATTATTTCCAGGATTTCCCTGAGGGAACAGATGAGTATTCTTGTAATTATATCAGTCCTACTGATCCCCTCAGCCCACCTTGTTATTCCAACATGGCTCCACCTTGCGATGCACACTCTCCAGATGCTTATATGCAGTCAGGAAGAAGATACCCCCGTACGCCTGTCCCCTCTCCTCCATCAACTCCTCATTCGACTCTCACTCCACCTCTCTCCTGTCCCCAACAGCTGGGCAGTTTAAACCGCAAGCCCCGCCCCCCAGGACTAAGCCCCTCCCCTCCACATGCAGAAGAACTTCCAGTTGAACCAGACAACATTATGCACTACCACAGCCTTCCCCAATGAGCAGGACGGATGGATAGTTTTAAATGTAAAATATCAAGGATAATATCAGAATATGAGATTATGTATGTGTGGGTATTTTAATTTGTCATTTTTATTAGCTAAACCATGTACATTTAGTATTTCATGCTTTCCAAAAGCTTAGATGAATGAATTGTGTACAAGACCAAAACTTAAATCAGTAGTTATAAAGTAAAAACTGATTACATGGATGTGCTGGATTTATATATATATATATATATATATATATATATATATATATATATATATATATATATATATATATATACTAATAGAACAATTTGCTTTCATTAATCATTTTCAGGACTTTTTGTCGGCTGTGGTTTAAAGAAATGGCTCAAACTAAACTAAACCCAAAAAAATACTATAAATAGGAAAAATATAGCGTTTAATTTCAGCTATAATTGAGCATTATTGTGATCTGTTAGGGGTTACTGTAAATATGATTTCTTTATGCCAGTATTAAAATGATTTTATTCTTTTTGCCTCCTTTTTTGGGACAGAAAACAAAAGTAAATCTCTCAAATAATATCACATTCTTTCTGAATGTCTAAAACGACAAGGACATAAAGGCCTGGTTCCTTCTTGAGACAAAACAATGGCACTATGGCGTATTTGAAGATATATCAGTGCAAGTTGCTTTCAGTTAAAACAGCTCAAACATGCATTTTAGTCTGGGATTAGGTTTAAGCCTTGTCTGTGAATCAAGGGGGGAAGACAGACTTTATGAACACAATTGTCAATTTACACATTTCAACCACCAGAGGGTCCTACATCACTATCTATCAATAAAACATCTGCGTCAGCCTAGATCACATAGCCAGAACGTGCTGTTTGACTAGGCTCCTCTTCAACCTTTCTCTCTTTGCTTCTTTTTTCTGTGAAACAATAGAAATAGTTCACTTCATCTTGATTAACGGAGTAGGTTATATATATTTTTATATTTTCTCCTCAATGACAAAAGTTTTACTAGCTTTTGTTAGCTAAATACAATTTAAAAGATAATTTAAATACATACGTTGAACTAGTCAGCTACATTATATCTACACTGTGCAACTCTTTTAGTTTATTCTTAGCTAAAAACACTTTTTCTGTCTATCTATGGTTCTAATGTCGGTCGCCATGTTGCCCTTCCATCTTGAAAGTACATTAGCTAAAGAGGGACATACCCGTTAATTCAAGCTTCGCCTTTCGCGTTTACGTTTGAGTTAACACTCATGGACGAGGTCGAACTGGAAGCCACGTTAGTCTTGGACTACATTGGCCACCGTAGGAGTTAAAACGAACAGGTGAGATAAAATATAGGGCTATTTATTTTAGATGTAGGCTAACAATTGGATTGTAACTAAGTTCATTTTTTTTTACTTTTAAAATGTTTTTATTATTATTATTAAATTTGTTATGGGTCATAAAAATCTAATTGATGGTTATAAACACAAGATATATATTTATTGTGTATGCCTGAAGTTACTGTACATAATTATCTGGGATTAATGGTTTTGGTGACATTTTATAAAGCAATGAGTGTGTTATATCTTTTAGTCTACTGTCACCAATGGAACATGTGTATTTCATAAAATTTATACTAGGGCATTTTACATTCGCCATTTGAGAAACCATGGATACAATATACAGTAGCTAAATATAATAGTGAGCATCATATGAGTTGATAATGCATTGTTAATTTGTTAGTCGCTAGTCGCACTGTCAAACATTAGCTGTGTGATCAGTCAACAAACTAGAGAAGACTTTCTTTTCACAATAATTGTCTTGAAAAACAAAACAGAAACCCAGAATAGCTCCATAAATAGCACATTCACATTCTTTTAAAATGTGTAAGGATGAGTACAAATGTGCAGCAGTTCTTTTATGAGATATGAGATACAGTAGCTATCTGGTTAAGGATGATGTTATTAATATCTGAGTTATATTCTATTAACTCCACCAAAGCACTTAACTGATTTATTAAAATTTTTGGCATTAGAATTGCTTTATCTTACACTGGAGAGCACTAGCAGCACTATTCTTTTGCCTATGAACGCTTGACTTGGTGAAAAGTGCTGTGTGTAAGTGGTGATTATGTAGAATGGTGCAATCAAAATGCTCATGGAAACATTTTTGAGTAGTTGCTCTAATCAAACCAGGAAAAAAACGCAAATCAGAATGTCTGATTTTAAATGTGGTAGGATTAAAAAATATTTCCACTTACTCTTTAACCTTTTCTATACTTAGTAAAGAATATTTTGAAATCATGTGCTTAATACCTACAGAACTGACCTCAACATAGGCAGTCGGTCTTTGGGGAGAAAATGCTTCTCTCTCGTCCGTCATGTTTTGTGTGAATTTTGATACAGTTGATGCAGTGTGGTTTTATTTTTTCTCAGATAATGCGAATCCTTCTAGAAGACTTTCCTGCAGTTCCAAACACAGAGGGCGGGTGAAACATTAAAGATGCTGAAAAGCAAAAGGAGAAGATGAAAGGACCCTAATGGAGGAGTTTTCCATTTTCCAGCCCAGATCTGACCCAAACACACATCCATAAACTGAACAACCGTAAAGCCTTTTATTATTAGGATAATGCCTTCCCCTTAGATCCTTTATTATTGAAATATGACTGGACTCCTCTCCTTTGTCCCATGATTAGCAGAGAGCCCATGCATTTCTGATTACGTGAGGTGTGATTTTCTTTCTCACCTAGTTGCGTAAGCTTTTAAAATATATGCCTTTTTGCGCTGGTCCCCTTTTAACCTGTCTTTGGTAAAACTTAGACAAGGACTAACCCTAACCATAGGGCAAATGATTTGGAAAAACAGTTTTGATTTCTTATCAACCACATTAACCCTATATCCAGTCTCCTGTTCTGATCAAAATCTTGCCAACAGTAAAACAGCCCCTCTGGGCGACCCAGGCTGTTAATCCGTTTCTGCTGTGGAGTGTAGTCAATGGCACATGAGACTCAGAGAATTAAGACGTAGGAAGCTTTCCTGGCCCCTCGGGTATGAGATCAAAGAGCAAGGAGGCTGAGAACAGGTTTGCGCTTGTCTCCACTGCTCACACTTCCATCCCTAGTTTGTTAGGGCTGTTAATGATCCAGCCACACATGCCAACAACATCACTTCTTCATTGCAAACCTGACAGAGCCATAATTTTTCATTGTGTGATGCTTGTTGAAAATGTCTGTCTTTAAGTGTTTCAAGTGATTACACACAAGCCCTTTGTCCTTTCCTCCGCTGACCAGAACATATGTTGCTCTGAGTGGGCACAGGAGGCTGTGGGGCACATTACGATGACAGAAATGTTATTGTATTCACCCCCAGTTATGTCTGCACATAATTGCTGCAGCTAGTTTTCTGTAAGTGTTTCCAATTTCTTTCCAGTAAAGACTCATCATGTTCAAATTTTAAAAGCTGGATTTTACACAGTGGGCCATCATTTTTTCAGATGTAAATATAGACTCTGGGGTGGGCTGCTAAATTAAGCGAGATGGACAATGAAAGGACTAAATTAAATGATTACAACAGACATCAAGGGGGTTGGGCACTTTTCCACCGTAGTAACTGTTCCCCCTGACAACAGTTAGAATGACAATTATATTCAGGTCTTTCAATGCCCCCAGGTTTCTCTTGCTCACTTGCTGTATTTGCCTCCATTGAGCACCTGGGACGTCTGTCTGTACGCGGAGGGAAGCGGGACCTGCTGACGGTGCACAGGCAAGACTGCTATTTTCTGACTCAACGATTCTAGATGCAATGCTATACGAATAGAACATTTCATTATGTACAGATTAAGTTGCATGGTCTAAAATAAACGTGGCCTTGCGTACTTCAAGAAAGTTTCCAAGAAAGTCTCAGGTGACACTTTGTCTGTTGGTCATGATCATTGAGGTGTAGAGTAAATTTAAAGTTGTATTTATGCACTGATGTGCACTATAAAGTGTGTTCTGTGAACTTGACAGGATTTTATTGAATTTCTACTTTCAGTCAAAGAAACCGATGTGCGTTAATGAGAATAGTAAATGGCTTTTAATTGGACAATTCATCCAAAAATGAAAATTTTCTTTCTTCTGTTTTAGCGTTTTTGGTCTATATTTTGAAAGTCGATGTGGGTCCAAACAACATTGGACTCATTGTATGAATAAAACAAAAAATGTTTTTTAATTGTTTGATGCTTGGTTAAGCAAAGTGTCACATTTTGACCCTGTAGCTCCTCACTAGAGAAGGGTTAACACAATATGAAGGGTTTATTTGCTTGGTTGAAAGTACTATACTAAAGGGTAAAATATTTAATAGACTCTACTGTAGATGTGAATTTCGTTCGTTTATTTGCAGAGAACCTTTGAGAGCTGGTCTTGGTGGTTCTGCTCTTGGTTGGGGTACCAGGACAGGTGGATCTTACGGTTCATTTGGTCAACATGGGGTCTGGCTCCTCCTCCTACACTTCCAAAGCCATCTATTTGGATGTAAATGGCAAAGTGCAGAAGGTGAGTGTCTTCAGTGTTTTAAGGAACTCGTGTTTATCTGAATTTAAACTCGAGGATGCAAGTTAGTGGTTGTCATAAGATTACGGAATACTACTGGTGGCTGACCAATATGGGTTTTTCACTGACAATAGTAATACCAATATAATGTTAACTATTCAGTGTAATTGAAATTTAATTTATTTAATAAATTTAATCAAAATTATTAAAATTAAATTAAAATATGTACTAAATATTTTGTGAAAAAAAAAAATACTTTTTGATTTGCTCAAAAAGGCCAAATGGGCCTGGCTAGTGTATCAGTCTATCTCTATTATCTTAGTCCTGAAATGGTGAATCTAAACCTGATGTTTAGCAGTTTATCATTGTACTAGTTCATCTGTCAAAAGGAGTGCTGGGAGATCAGTGTGTATGAGTTAAAAATAAAGCTTAAGAGCTGTTCTGCTGGTGACTGACATTGTATGTTGTGACACTTTGTTTTCTGGCTGAAGTGCTGTTAATGGTTGTGTTAATTGGTCAAGTCCAATTTAGAGTGTTTTTCTACGTAGGAAACTCACAGATGCTCAATCATGCTCTAAAGTGTTCACATTATTATCCATGATTGATGAAAAATGTTTGACATAAACTCATTAATTTTTCACCAAGATTATTTTTTGTCACAAAATGCAGGAGGTTTGTACAGAATATGGCAGAACATGCATGTTTCAGATTCAGCACTTCATCTTCAGCTCATACAACCTCCTAAGACCTCGGAGAGACTAAATGGACATTGAGAACATTAAGAATGGCATGGTTTACTGTAGTACAGGATCTATTAGGGATCTAAGCCTGTCTACCACAGCTTCCTCTTTCACAATGTGCTATTCTCTTCGTCATTTTTAAATCTCGGTTCAATAATAGATTCAATGAACCTATAAGTGCCAAAAAAATAATTTTATTTTTAGATGAATGATTACACTACAGTTCAAAACTTTAGGGTTAAATGTTTTTGAAATGAGTCTCATACTCACCGAGGCTGCATTTATTTGTTTATTTGTCAAGTCTTCAGTGTCACATGATCCTTCAGAAATCATTATATAATATATATATATATATATATATGAAGAGTTCAGATGCAAAATCCTCTAAATGCCATTTGAAATTTTCTTCTTTAATGATGATTTTTATCAAACTTGTATATTTAAGTTCAATAATATCACTTAAATAACAATTAATAGGTAATTATCATTGCCATTTAAGTGAAATTACTGAACTTAAATATACAAGTTTGATAAAAATCATCATTAAAGAAGAAAATTTCAAATGGCATTTAGAGGCTTTTGCATCTGAACTCTTCATATATACTCTTATACAAACACATATACAGTATATATTATTATTATGATTATTTAAATGGTGCTCAAGAAACATTTCTTTTTATTTACAATGTTGAAAAAAGTTGTACTGCTTAATCTTTTTGTAGAAACCGAGATACATTTTTTCAGGATTCATTCATTAAACATAAACTTCAAAATGTGCCACCACTTATTTCGAATTAAATTTTTTTTGTAACATTATAAATGTCTTAACTGCCACTTTTGATCAATTTAATGTGTCCTTTCTGAATTAAAATATTAATTTCTTTAAGTAAAAGTTTTACTGACCCCAAACTGTTGAACGGTAGTGTGTAAATTCTAACATATATATTAAATCTCATAATTTGTTGTATAACCCCAGAGGAACATTTCATTGCTCAGAGGTTGCTCTACCATAGTTTGGGAGATTTGGAGTTCTGAATTAAGTTTTATTTTAGTATTGACAAAAAAAAAAAGACAAACAAAATGGCATTATGATGTGGATAGCATGTTTGATTATATATTATAGGCTCTGACTTTTTATTGCAAACCAGTGTCTTTGTAAATCTGAATAAAGTGTAAAGAGTAAAACTATGAGATGCATGTCAGATTACTAGGATGTTTTTGGCAATGAAAGAACCAGAGAAAGAAGAGCCTTATGCCAAAGTCTCAATTTAATCTTATGCTGCCTATTAAGATGTTAAAGATTTGTATGACACCACACTTTCATTTTTAAATTCTTTGCTTTAAAATCCCACAACATTTTCAATGACATTTCACAATTTGTATTTCAAGATACATATTTCAGTTGGGTTGCAGTGTTTCTCATTGTAGTACAGGTATGACGAAAAATACAGACATAATATTGCTAACACACCCTTATTTGTCCCTCATAGGTGCTTTTCAGTCGTCACTGCAGCCCATGTGATATCAAAGAACTGCTGTGTTCCTCCTCCAACATCCCAAGGTCTGTAAATCACTGATATCACCACTAATCAACACCGCAATCCAAGTTCTCTGCAGTGGACAACATGTTCTGAGTTTAACATCATAAATCCATCAAATTTCACTTTGTATTTCTTCTATCTGTAGGAACACTGCTATAATGATGGTGAACCCTGAAGGTGCTTTCGTGTCTATCGATCCCACAATGCCCACCAACACCCCCAAGTAAAATGCAGCCTGGCCCTTGTTGTTTGTATAAGCAGTTATGATAATTTTCAGTTTGATCTGTCAGTTAATGAGCCCATTTTGTCCTTTTAGCTTCCTGTACAAAGTCATTCCTTTGTCTACCGGCCAGCTGGGAGGTAACGTGCATCATTTTTCACTGTTTGTCACTGTGTTTGACTCTTACTTGTACCCCTAGATCTACATTCATTCACTCATTACATTGTTTCGAGCCAAGATTTGTTCTGCCCTGATTTATAGCCTGTGTATTTATCTCCACAGAAAAGGAAGATATGTTTCAGAATGTGATCTCACAGATAGCAGAGCAGTTCAGCAGGTAACGGACATGTTTGTTTTCCCATGGACTGGAGATGAATCTCTATTACCGTAATGTTTCTGTACTAAAACCAGCTAAAACTTTTTGTTCTTCTCTCTACAGAGCGTTCAGGATTAACGAACTGAAAACGGAAGTGACCAACAGACTGGCTATGCTGGAGAAGAGAGTTGAACGTATGTAATGACAATGTTACGGTTTGCTGTTTGTCTTAATTTTGTATCTGTTTTTTTACACTATATGACTTTTAACGTCTAAACAGATATTATAACACTAATTTACAACACAGATTTATAACACAGATTAGCTTTACTAAGAGTGCAGGATTTAGGATCAGGATTTACTAAAGAGACAGTGAAAAATTTGCGCTGAAAACGCATGGACAGGGTTATTTTTGTTGCTGACTTTATTGCATGTACATTTGTATGTACAATTGAGTTTCCTTTTCAGATGCAAAATTTATGGGAGGAGAGTATTTTTAAATGAATCAAGCAAGGTGATTTACTAAGTGTAGTCAATTTCCTGGCATTTCCACCATTATTTACCACCCCAAAAAAAAGCAGAAAAAAAGCTGGTCTTAAACCAGACACTAAGTTGTGCTGACCAATGTATATTGCATTGGTCATTATGGAAATGATCCAGCTGTATCTGTGTTCTTTTGTTGATGTCGCCAGTAGATCATGCACAGAACTTTCCACTCCCATCGCCCACTTTTTGGGAATTGCTCATTGAATTGAATAGGAATTGAAAACATACAGTTATGACGGCCATACACTGTGCAATTGTCGTCCGATTTTGAGCTGAATTCTGACTCATGCGACTCTTTTTCAGGTCGGACCGATTTTCAGCTTTGTCGTGCGTCATTTGTCGTGCAGTGTACAGGGAGAAACGAGAGCCAACTAACCTCTCCCGATCAACAATCGGATGGTCGGATGAATTTCTGGCATTTTGGTCACTCCTCGTGACTATATCACACAGTTGAAGTAACGCAACGAAACGATTGCCCTCACTGCGCGATTTAATATTGAAAGTAGAAAAATGAGAAAACAGTTCCAAAAAAACTGAAAAATAAGAATTCACCTTCATTTTTTGTTTTTCGTTCTAAGGTAGAAAAATTTAAAAAACTGTGTGTATATTCAATATCTACATGTGGGCGGGAATGAAACGCCTCTTTCCCCTGATTTGTCAGTATCCTAGTATCCTCAATATCCCTCCTAGTCTCTTTGCTCCTCCATCCTCCATCCTATGACCCGGAAACCATTCAAGCTCAGCCCTCTTGAAGGACATCTCAATTCTCTAATTGCACCGCCAGGAGTCGAGGATCGAGGAGTGAGGAGGCTATGCGGAAGTGTTTTATCACATAAACATGACGCACATATAAATTCTCCTCCC